TTTGAAGAGGTTCCCCAGGAATTAAAGAGCTACTTCCATCAGTTGACTTGGCTGGCCATAAGAAACTTGACACGCTGTTGAGAATTTTCTGCACTTAACCATGAAATATATCTGCCACAGGTATCAAGTGGGCTTTTGTGTGGGGTTTTTTGGTGCTGTAATCAGATTACAAATTGAACATTTCCATATGTGCATGCTGGCAGGTCTATCGCCAGCTATCTAATCTTTAGCTGCCCTCAAGTGCTAGTTTTGGGGAGGGGGGAATGACATGGAGTAACAGAGATATTAATACAGTTTCTGCTTGTGTGAACATATGTTAATGAACTGAGAGTTGGGACTCAAAAGAAACAGCTGTTAAGAATTTTTCAGCATTCTTAGAAAATCAGTGTCATAATTACTGATAATTTAGCAGAATGACCATTCCCAGCCGTTCCCTCTGTTTCAGGAGCATGGGGATGGCGATGCATTTCACTGCTGATCATTCATTTCACTGAATTCATTTGCATTAAAAGCAGCCTGGAAAGTCTAAGGAATTTTTGCCATGTCAGTCACACAGAATTTGATGTGAAATAAACAAAAGGCTGTTTCTACTCAAGAAGCAGAATGTTTTATCATGCAAAACATCCACTACAATTTAAAAACCTTGATACCTTAACCTGGCAATCTGCTTTCTCCAGTGTGGTCCATTGCAATCACCTTCAGTCTTTTCAGACCCTGGAACCACGGTTTTATCACATCCATATTTTATGGTTTTCTTTTAAAATTGTATATGCTGTTCTTCAATATAAATATTTCCAGGACATGGGAAAGGAAACAACAATAGCCAAAACAAATACATAAGCATAAAGCTATACAGCAATATGACACCGGGGAGGATGCAACGCAAAACAGACTCAGCAATATTAAAAGGCCCGGGAAAATACAACACTCTTTACCTGGCATCAGAAAGACAACACAGGTGCCAGAATCCTCCCTGGAGACAACATTCCACAAATCTCAAATGGCAGAGGCACCTAGCAGATGACCTCAGTGCTCAGGCAGGTCCATGTTCCAGTACCCAGATTCTAAACCATTTACATCTTACAAAATGAGTGTCAACACTTTGAACTGTGCCCAGATTTCAGGACTGATTATATATTTTCCTATCTCCTAGTCACAATTAGTAGCCTAATCTGTAGTTTTCCAAGGCAGACTTATTACAATCAAATTTATAGATTATCAGAACATGGATAGCTGTGGCCAGGTTAGCCCTGCCCAGGAGGGATCACAGCTGATCTACCAGTCCTCAGTTATTGAAAAATGTTATGTACCACAAATGCCACATGGGTTTCTAGTGACTAGCTTAGTCCCATATCGAGAATCTAATCCTTCAGGTCAAGTGCAGTCCTTTACAAAACAGTTTGAACATCACCTCCCTGGGGAGACCTACCAATGTTCCTTCATTTTAGCTGGATTGATCTTCAGTTTATTGACCTTCATCTAATCTGTTGCTGCTCCCAAACACCAATTCAGCACTCCCACTACCTCATCTGAATTCCATATAAAAGAGAAATCTAGTTGGGTGTTATAAGCATGCTGGTGTTACCTTACTCCAGATACAGTAGGCGAGGGACACAGTTTATGGATTCAGAGGTTTCTATGCATGCATCCGTATTTGGAAGATGAATTGTGTGCATTTTTTAAAAAGTTACAGTCTTAGCTGTTAGTTGTTTGGAAGTTGGAGAAGATTCAGTTCAATGTCCCCACCGAGCAGCTGCTCAGCTGAATTTTGGCTTTTAAAAACAGACGCTATGTGCAGGGAGCACATGCTCCATTTAATTGGGGTGTCTGAATTGTATAATTATTGTGTACTACAGCTGTTCTTTCAATATTGTACTTTTGGAGAGGGGATCATAATTTGGAACTCTATCTAATTAATATTAATAGAAAAGAAAGCAAGGGCACACACATAGAGTTAAATGTTAGTCCAGTAGTACAAGCCAGTTTCCAAAGTTAAGGTGTGGGGAAGAAGCAGGTTGTTTTGATCTCTGGGAGGAGATTAATTAATTAATTAATATACTGCCCTATACCCAGGGCTGTTCACAGAACAATGCAGTGCCCAACCTGGTGATAACAGAATAAACAATGTAAGGAGGGAGCCAAGGGTCTGGAAACTGAGCCTTATGAGGCATGGTTGAAGGAATTGGGTATGTTTAGCCTGGTAAAAAGGAGACTGAGCCATCTTCAAATATCTAAAGGGCTGTTCACATGGAGGCTGGAGCAAGCTTGTCTTCTCCTGCTCTGGAGGATAGGGCCAGAACCAATGGTTTCTGAGAGTGCCATTTCTTTGTGAAGGAAATACTTTGTTGTCTAGGAACTGTCTGTGTGCGACAAAACTCAGATTTACAGGTGCTCAACCCTTTAAACAATGTTTCAAAGCACCCTTTAAAACATCAAATACAGTGGATGCTCGGGTTGCAAACGTGATCCGTGCGGGATGCACGTTTGCAACCCACAGCGGCGCGTCTGCGCACACGTGGGTTGTGATTTGGCGCTTCTGCGCATGAGCAAAGCGCTATTTAGCACTTCTGTGTATGTGTGACCTCCGAAACCCGGAAGTAACCCGTTCTGGTACTTCTGGGTTTCGGAGTGTCCGTAACCTGAAAAAATGCAACCTGAAGCGTCTGTAACCCAAAGTATGACTGTACATTAAAGCCATTGATTACATGTCCTGTCAATTTCAAGAGTCTGGCATGGTCTCAGGTTGATGTATTAAATCTTTATTTTGGATTTTTATTTTGCTCCACTTACTTGCTGCCATATGAAAGTCCCTTAATAACATTTACAGTACATTAGAAGTAACTTGAAGGCGCACTATGTCTTTGTAACTGACAGGTAGAAGAGAGTAGAGGTTAAGGATTCCTTTGTTTGCTGAGCATGTACCCCCTCCTTCCTAGTTGCATGACACCATTAAGGGTTCATATTTATTTATTTTTAGTGTGATGGAAAGCTTTATTCCAAATGCAAAAATTGCAACTAATTCAGAGACACTTGCAAGTTTTTTTCTGTGATCAGTTAGCCTGTGATAACAAACCCTAAGGTCACTTTGGTCTTGGATATATGTGATCATTAATCAAAGGGTGAAGAGTATGTGAGAGCACAGAAAAGAATAGGAAATAATTAGAAGTGTTTGACTCATCACTGTTTAATTCACTGCTGCAATTGTGCAAATAAATGGACATTATATAGGAAAGGCAGACATAGGACAAGTGCAAAATAAATTATTAACCCCAAAAAGTGACTTGTCAATTACTGTCTGGCTAAAATACTCTGGGATTCCCTGCCCATGAAAATATATTGTATGAGGCAGGATAACAACATTGGATCACTAAATTCCAAAGCAACCTCTGATACAATTGGTGTAAGGAACAAGTCCAGTTCATGCACTTGTACTTTGACACTCAGTAATGATAATGATAATAATGATAACCCACAAACAATTGTAGAGCCAGGAACACCATGTGCTCTTTTCCCACTGCAGTCACTCACAGCTGGCTACTTCTCAAGGTTGGGGTATCTTCCAGAGAAGAGTCTGCTACAAAGTGAATGAATACAGCCAGAATTGGAAATAAGATACACAATGAATACATCAGACTGCTTTCCACTTATGCAAGGGCTCTGTGGATGCTGACGTAGAGATCTTATGAATTTTTTGGGCAGTAGGTCCAGCAAATTCTTTGCAATACATAATTCACTTATTGAATTCATTACTACAAAATGTGGTGTTGGCCACTCACTAAGTTAGTTTTGTAAAATGATAAACTCACAGAGGATAGGTCAGTCAATGGCTGTTCACTATTTAAATATTCATACGCAAAGCCTTATACTTCTGATGACAACATAATTGGGCATCCAAAAGGAGATGGTTATCGCCCTCAAATCTTGTTGGAAGCAAAATGCTGAGTAGATGGTTCCTTGGTGTGCTTGAGGAAGAAAATACAATTGTTTACTCTGTGTGTTGCAGGGGGGTTTGCTATTAACTTTCACAAAAAGAGAACATTAACAATACCCTCATATGTTCTGTTTGTAGTGGTGGCTGGTCCATTGGGGCTGGTATAAGTAAGGCAGGAGGCCAAGAGTAGGTGAAGCCAGAACCAGTGACAGGCAGAGCCAAATAGTTTTGCCACTATCAGTCTCAGTATTGAGTTCTACGAAGGCAATACTGAGACTAAGAAGCAGAATGACTTCATCCCCTGTATGGGTTGTAAAAAATGTAAGCAGGTGGGACCTAGCTGAAGGCAGGCTAAAGTTGGTGCAGCAGTGTCCCATTTACCCTAAGGGATCCGCCTTCACTGTTTGTTTGGTAACCTGCTTTCACTTATACAGTCCTAGATTAGTCTAGTCTAGATGGGGACTTTTTGCCAGGTAACCAAAACCTGAAATAAAAAAATCTAGATATATAAACAATTTACAGAATAAACCAGTTTCCCCCGGCAGTCGTCCCAGGTACCATAAGATTTTGTAGATCTTCCTCTCTGTGGGTAAAAGAGGTCTGGCCTTACAATCCGCTCTCCTAAGCAGCATAGGAGGCATTCCAGGGTTAGACCATTCCCCAACAGGCCTTAGAATGGTGGTCCTCTGTCTCTCTCTCTCTCAACTAACACACTGACAAGGGGAAGCGTTGCCACCTCCCAAGCTTCTGCCAATCTGGCATGCCAGTGTGGGCCTGGGAAGGCTGTACATGTTTGACTGCCTTTGATTCTCTCTTCCCCAACCTACTGTGATTGCTGTAACCATCTTATGTCTAGCATTTGTGATTGTTGAGAAAACAAAGTAATCATATTGATAGCTCTAGACTTGAGCGTTTTGAGGGCCAACAGGGATGTGGGTTTGCTTTTGTCCTTTTGCAAAAGCAGAGTTTGTGTGCAGTTAGCATTATTGCTAGTAGGGGAAATTTCATACAAATGCTGTTGAAATCCATTCTATAGCCAACAAAACAAAAGGCCAGTGAAAATGATGTCTTCATTTTGTAATCCTTTATTTTTTTTAAATTTGATCCTCCCATAGTAATGTACTGAAATGCATAACAGTTACATTGTACAAAGCATTTAAAGAAAGTACCTCAACTTGCTGGCTATTTCAAAATGAGATAATAAACAAAAAGGAAAATAAAATCTGGTCCCTCACCAAAAGGGCGAAATTCTTGGCCCCCTCCCGCCCCTGCCCCCAAAATAACTGAATACAATTCATTATTTATTTATTGGGGGTTTTCTTTTTTAAACATAAGTTTGGAACACTTCATTTTACAAATAGGATTAACATGAACGTAACATCACACAAGCTCGCAGACAACCGGCATAAAATATTGGGTACAGCTTTCTTTTTCTTTTTTTAATCAGAAGAATCATGCTTTCATGAAGAAAAAATTAGAATGCTTTATACATTTGAATCATTTTTGCTGTATTACAAAAAAATCTCTAAATCACCTCTATTCATTATTTAGTTTTAGTAAAAGGAAAAAAACGATAGTAAAAGAGGAATGTAAGAAATCTTTTTTAAACACTGTTTGCACGAACATATATGCAGATCAGTTCGCCTCCTTTTTTTAAGTCCATGGGTGCCCAGAAAAATGATGTGGGGTGGGGTTGGAGAGAACTGGAACAGTGCTATTAATTTCATATGAACAGTGCTACATTTAGCAAGAGTGCTTTTTTCTTAATCCACAAACAATTGTTTGCCAACAAATAAATTACATGTACACGCAACACCAATAAAGAAAGAAATCAAGAGCAACAAATGAACACCAACAAAATAAAACAAACAAAACAGTGACATGATTGTCTAAAATTAAAATGTCATTACATTGATCAGGGAAACATTGAACTATAGTGGTATGTTTGATGACTGTGGTCTTTTGCATGTAGTATGCTGAAAGACTCACCTCCTTTAATTGCTGAACTCTCCCAAGTTTTTTTTCTTCTTTTTTTACAATATACACAGACGTCTTACATTATTGTCTCATGTGGTTCTTTATTTTTACAATGCAGTTCAGAAGGCAAAAGTTAAGGAGGGGGCAAAATATTCCTTGTGATTAGGTTCTAGATTAATGGTAGATGTACATTCGAGGGAACTGCTTTGTCTTCCTTAAATGGTTTCAAACGCATAAAGCATAGATGAAGAGGATTTGTATAGAAAAGCAACTGTTCCTAATCCTGCCTACAATTACCATTCTACACGGGGGGGGGGGGGAGACTCAAAAAGGAAAAAACAATTCTGTTTTAGTTTAAAGGAGTGCTAACGTGTGTGTAACAATACACGTCTTAACCCATAAGTCCCTCCCCAAGCAGGTGGAGTGGAAGACACATATTCCCCAACAAGGTCTATTTGATCCATGTATTTTGAAAGTCGCATTGATCCTCAAAATGTCAGCAGCTGCCTTCGCTGTGCAAAACAAAAGATTGAGAATAAATAGTTTTCTTTCTTTTAAATCATTCAGTTTAAGGTCACCTGACTTTAAATGTGACCCATCAGATTTCTAAGGCATTCTGCTCTGCAGTCTTTTAAATAGTCTTCTAGCAAAGAGCCATGTTGCTAGTTTGGACTTGGTCCCAATCCTGTTACGTTTGACGGTGTCATACATGACTAATGGACTGGATGGCACTGGATTCTGCAGCAACTCTTGCCATACTGTGCCACACATTGGATGAATTGTGGGGTGCAGAGTGGAGAGAGTCCTTGTCGGAGAGTGAAAGCATCATAGCAATGGCCTACAGTTGAAGAAGGAGGAGGAAGAAGTCAAAATAAGATATTCAGTAATATCATTTAGAGTCATAGTTCTATCGTGGAAGAACCTATTCTTTCAGTGGGAGTCAGCAGTATGGCTCCCACCTGGGAACCATTTTGGAATTCACCCTGTACCACAAAGTCCTCTCACTAGATTTCTGAAGGTTCATGACAGAAAAAATGGAAACTGTGCTAGGCCTGTGTTGTTAAACCCTTTGGATCTGTGTACTTTACTTTATGGGCCCCCAATGTGGCAGAGGGAAAAGCCAAAGAACTTCATATACCGTATTTACTCGAATCTAATGCTCACCTTTTTGGCCAAATTACGTTGTGAAAATTAAGGTGCACATTAGATTCGATGACACATTAGACTCGAGTAAATACGGTAGTATGGAAACAAAGAAAAGGCAGCCGGGGGCATAGTCAGAAAGGCAGCCACAACAATGTTTGGATAGACAAGGGTATTTTGCCTTCTCTATTCCTCCCCTGCAGCAAAAACTGGTGTGTTTCCAGCTAGGCCCTCAGTTGAGCAAAACTGCAGTTATTTTGCCACTAGTGGCCAAACTGGCAACACTTCATGCCCCACAGTTGGAGAAATGCTGCACTAATGGGGTTAATTACCTTGGTACAGAACAATTCAGTGATTTCAAAACCTAATTACATGACTATGGTCTTTACTTCATGGAAGTAAGTTAAGAGGATCCCCCTGGATTTCACTGTGTTGTGGCATGTTCCGAATCTTCTCAAACAAGTTTAAATGAACTAATATGTTAACCTTCTCTGCAAAGTAGAAAACTGACGAGGATTGGCAGTATTCATGGGCCTACTGGGGACATTAAAATTTCTACTAGCATGTGTAAGCACACTTGACTCCTTTCCAGAAAAGTATAGTTTCAGGTTACAACTAGACAGCCTAGCCATCTCAGTTGTACCAACCAGTAAAAACGAATAATAGGACCAGTGCAGACAAAACATTGGAATTCTCTTGTCTATGAATACGGGAATGGAACAGACCACAGGATTGCACTCTCTGTTTCTCTTAGTACTCAATTCTTAGTACAGTGCATATTTCCTCCATCTATCTTAACAAATGTCAGGAATTACATTGGCACCAACATTAACTATGGTTTGCACTAATCTTTATTTTTCTTTAAAAGTCCTTAATTTACAGGTGTTAAAACACAAGGTCAAATCTTCTTAGCCAGGTTTGGAAACCTGGGTTTGGAAACAGTTTCAAAGAACAAACATCATTGTTAATGTTGGTGGCTGAACCGCTGTCATTAGCCTGGATATATTTGTACTAGAGAAGAAAGGGGAAAAGAGAAGATGCATGTGATCCAATGCTGTCTTCCTGATCTCTTAACTGCAGTTGAGCAGCATCTGTCCACCATTTTCTCAGCACCAGCTCAGTTGGATGTGGTGCTGATGCAGCAGCACTTGCTCATCTACCATGGGCCAGAAAAACAGAGCTGCATTAACCATATCAGCACAAAAGGTCAAACAAATTGAGGTGGCCTTTTGAGGGTATCTCCAGATGGGTTTCTTACTGTTGGTATATGCAGCAACAAGTGTTTTATGTTTTCAGTGTACATTTGTACGGGACTGTCTGCTCCTCTGCTACTCTCAGGATTATTGACTCGGCACTGGCCTTCTTTGACTCCTCCCAATCTATTGTTTCAATCCTCACCATCACTCTTCCCACCCTTCCCAACCAGATTACAATTTATCCTGAAAACACAATAAAATAGATTTACCTGGGATTTGGACTTGCGACACAATGGCTGCTTTAAGTCTTCTGGCAGATGGGAGGTGCTAAACGCTGCCAGTTCAGCTTCACTGAACTGGCTTTCTTCTGCTTTCCTCACTTTGAGGCTATCAGTGAAGTGCCTTATATGGTCCAACGCAGAAAGTCCAGTTTTATTAAACTCATCTTCCTTATACCTATGAAACGTCCAAAGATTGGCATACTGATTGGTTTTGAAAAGCAAATTATCAGTGATTTTTAAAAAATAGTAATTGAAATATTTTGTCTGGTCTTTCCTTTAACAGACTTTGGGCAAAACTGAGGGCATAATAGGCATGGTTCTTTTTTAAAATTAAATTCTTAACCATATGATTAGGTTCTACTGATTTAAATGAAACTGTAAAGTGTGGCTAACTTTCTCTGGATCACACCCCTTAGAAAGCTGCTCAGTTGCACAATAGTTTTTCTATTCCAAACATTGTCTACAAATAATTATTAACAGGCATATTTAGGTCAACCTGCAAATACAGAACCTGGATTAAGCCCTAGAAATTGGGACTTCTGCTGTATTTTCTACCATCTTGCTTTGATTTTGCTCCTACCTGCCAGGAGAAGTCTTGCAATTCATTTCCAAAGCATTTGCTTCTTCATAGTCACCCTCTTCACATATGTTGCTTACAGCTGGTTCTTTAACAGACCCCCCTGTTATCTCACTTTCTTCATCTTCTTCATCCAACATTACTTCATCTTCTGCTTCTTCATCTTCCAACAAGTCTGAGTTCTGGCTTGTCACCAGAGTCTTTTCATCCTTAAAGTGACTTCCATTAATTCTTCAAAAAAATACATATCAAATGAAAACAAAATTACCTGTTAGCAGTTGCAGAAACAGGACCTTGCTTTCTAAACTTTGTTTTGCATTAACTATCCCATAGGTGGTAATTGCCATAATTAAAATCAATAACCACTCTGTCCACTTTATTAAGTGGCCAATAATCCTTTGAAATTCAATTCACAGTCTGACAGAATGGTGAAGATAGCTTTTCTCACTATTACATCTGAGTTTTAGATTACTACATTTCATTACTCTTGAAAGTAGAATTCCCAGTATAGTTACTATTGACCAAAAGGAAAAAATTTTCATGTTCTCAACTGTCTCTCACTGCCCTATTAACCACGGGGCAATAAGCATAACAACGATCAGTAGCATACAATCTGCTTCACAGCATAGTTGGAAAGTAATGGGTAACCACTTCACAGGCTTGTTGTGAGGACAAAATAAATAACAGTCATGGGGCAAGGGTGCAATACATATTTCATAAATAAAAATAAATATATATACAACAGGTTAAACCCATTTACATAAAGGCCTAGATCTTGGGCTTGCAGTGAGTATTGTGTTGGGGAGGTGCAGAGCACTATGAACACATCGGGCTTCAAAGTGAAATCAATAGGCCTAGATGCATTTAATTCTATAAAAGATTGTGACCTTTGTCATGGAGAAGCAGTCATGTGAATTACTGACACTGTTTAGTACTGCACACCAAAAAATTATTCCATTGATTTTATGAAGCATTCTCTATAATTTAAATGGAGATAAGTTTTGATTGGTTTGCCTTGTTATCATAACATTTTAAACTCAAACATGTAACGAAATGTTCTAGTTCACCGGAAGCTCTCAGTCCTTCTCAACCCATTCCCTAGAGAAAAATTACCCCTTTCTAAATACAAAGGAATTTCACTTTTCATCTGATAGCATTTAGATTTTCCAATAAATTGTCTGTTAGGCTATATAAAATGAAACCACACCAGACATTATCCCATAATTGCCTAAATCATGTAGGGTTACCCACAAACAATAATCTTTTGGATCATTTAACAAGCTTGTGTCTACCAATATTCCTTCATTTATACTTCAAGAAGAAAAAGAAATAGAATTTAACCAATTATCATTAAGGATTATAGGATCCATTAAACATGAGGAAATTATCTTGGAATAACCATAAAGAAACCCATAATTTTGCAATGATCTTGAAAAAAGTGACCATCATCTCACTTGTGGGTATCTTTGGCATCTTTTATCAGGATGCCCTGGCAGAACTTCTTGGACAGTCTTAAGAAACTATGAGCTATAAACCAGGGGTTGCCAGATTTTTAAACCATGCCAGAAGAAGACAGTTTGAAGTGAAAAAGGACTTGGATTTAAACCAAAGTAATGAAAGCCACATGATTAAAAAAAACAGATTTGCTAATTATGCTTTTCATATGCAGTAATTTGCCAAGTATGAAATATCTATCAAAATTTTGAAAGGAATCACTGGATGACCCATCAACCTTTTTTCCCCTTATAGACTTCCTATCAGAGGACATGTTGAGACCAGATGTGGGGGGGGGGGAACTAACCCATGACAATCAAGCAGGAAGAAAATTTGAATGTGCATGTAATGTATTATCAGCTGCCTTCATGATTATATGCCTACTAGTTTTGACCCAGCATAAAAATGAGCGAGAAACTTTAAAAATAGAAAGTCATAAGCCATATGCAATTTCTGCCCTTGAACATGGAAAGCAAATTAATGTGAGAGAGAAGGCAGTAAATAAATTTGACCCAGAACATAATCACACACCATGTTACACATCTGTGGAAAGCTTATGCTTATCCCCAATTCAAGTGCTGTTTCAAATCCAAAATATGCACTTGAACCATATATTGATTTATAGTCTGTTGATGCATTAGAGTGGCTAGGACAACCCAGACAGATGGGTGGGGTGTAAATAAAAAAATTAGTAGTAGTAGTAGTAGGGGTTTTACTTAATACACACAGTTCACTTTCTTTACTGAAATGTGTAGTGGACAAAATGGGCGGTAATATAGTTTTACATTCATGTTGAACAATTATATTGATCTTCATTAGGAATGTATCCTTGCTAGCTGTTATTCCCAGAATATAGGGCAGTTTATGCCTCACCCTGGTAGTGCCCCACATTATGGATCCACTTGTATGATTTTGAAACAGGGAGTATTTTATGAAATACACACTGTTTTTTCCAGCAGTGTTCCTAATGATGTCATCATAAGAATCATGGCCTGCTTTAGCATTGCATAGGTTGATATAATAAATTAACCTATAATTTGATGGTTGGAAATGGTTCAAGCTTGCCTTTTCAGAGAATTTGTGGATGGTAAATCAGGAATTGTGGTGTAGCTGGCCCTCTCTGCATCTGTAACAAATGTCTCACTATCCCACATTAAATACAGAGCAGCTTCTAGCTCTGAATCAGGTGTTTGGTTATATGCAAAAAGCTAAAACTGGTGCAAATCCCTGAAGGGAAAGTGATGTCCAATAAGATTACATGGGCATCCAAATACTGCCAGGGGGTTAGTAATTTCCTTCCCAATTCCTCACCATTTGGAGGAAATTTCAAACTTCTCTTTCCTAACTCAAACATATATTGCTGATATTGCTGAACTGGGAATGATTGAAACTTGCTAATGCATGAAACATTTATTGTGAAAGCACTGGATTTGTATTTTGTATGCAATCCATTTTGACCTGCTTACTTTGGCCACATTAACATCAGCACATGTAACTTTGCTAATTGCCAGGAGATCCAAACTATGTTTTCAAAAAGATTTTGTGAAGATATTGTTAAGGATAGTGTAGTGTAGTGTAGTGTAGTGTAGAAAACACAACAAACACCTTAACTGTAGTAGTTTTGCCTGTTAGAAATGGTCAAAATTAAGTTAGCTTTGGGATTGCACGATTATGATAGATGTGCAAATTTTTATGTCTTGTATGTAATGGAGACAATCCAGAGAAAGTTCTGTGTAATCGGACTACAATGATATCAAGAAAACTCCATGACTGTGATTCAGTCCCACAGGCTTTAAAGGAGTATGTCACCTTGATTTTGCCCAATTCCCTTTGGAAATAAGCTGGAAATGTAACACTTCAGCAGTAAGGAAACAACAGTTAACCTTACCTTTCTTCTGAGTTGTTGTGGTTGCTATTCCCAATGAAATTACGAATTTCAGTAAAGTATGAGTCTTCTTTGTCATCTAGGATAGCACCTGTGCTTTCAAGTTCAGAATGAGGTGAAGACGTAGCAGTACCTTCACAGAAAAGTAAATATTTGGTTTTTTATCCTATCAGAATTATGTTAATTTTTATTAATTTATTAACTACTTTCTTCACAAGTGTCTCAAGGAAACATACAATAAAAAAATAGTGCCAAAGTTCCCAAATGCCATCATTGCACATCTTATCAAATCAAGAAAAGAAATGCTTGATGAAACACACTCAACTATAATAGAAATGGTTCGGCTGGAAGTGAGCAAAACAAATGAAGAACTGGAGGTGCACAGTCCTATGGACCCATCCCATCCTATAGATGTCCTCAGGAAAGGATCTCCAAAGAAAGTTTCTCAAAACAAGAAGTGGGACTGGGCTGCCAGATTTGCTTGCAGCACAGAAAACAAGCATGGAGAGAAATAGCATAGTTTACACAGCTGGCTGCTACAATGATCAAAGAAACTAAGCATTCTGATTCTGGGCTCAATTAAATAACATTGAAAAATTGAACTGTGTTAGGTGAGGAAGCAGCTTGTGCCTCACTGGTCAATTGTAGGGTTGCCATATTTTAAGATGTAAAAATCCGGACAAAAATTGTTGAGCTTTTTGTGGGAAATCAACCAAAAAAGGCAAAGAGTGATGCATTCCCCCAACCCCAGATGCTAATTTCACTCTTTGAATCCATACATATGGCAACCCTAGTCAGTTGCCAAGCCCTCTTAGGGAGACCCGCCTCACATACTGAAAAGTACAGTATGATGCATAGATTCCACTAACGTTTATAGAACTTAGTATTTATTTCAGAGTGCAGGCATCTGAAAATTTTTCTCATTTTAGTCTTAAAAAATAGATGACCATTTTCATCTAATCCATTGATCCAGTGGAGATAAACTTGCATATGTTGCTAGTTGTACACAATAGTCTCTACATAACTTTCTCTATCAAAACTGGTATATTAGGCTGATGCTGCCCAGGTCTTAAACCATACCAACTTCCTGGATCAAAATTCGGATCTGATTTCTGACAAGTATTTAAGATTTTAGTCATAAGTACATAAAAACCTAAGGATAATGTTCAAGCCCATTGTATTCTTCTGACATAGGAAGATCCCTGTAATAGTTGTGGGATGAAAAGCATGATCTGCAGTGTCACAAGAATGCCACACCTGTACAACAGACCTGTATGATCTCATGAATTCCCCTTAAATGATTTATTTTAATGCAGAAAGCATGATAGGTACATACCAGACATGTTGCCATTCTCGTGTTTTTTGAGATGTCTATCTAAGTTGGTTTGTTGGCCAAAGCACCGGTCACATAAGTGACATTTGAAGGGCTTCTCCTTATTATGGATGTTACGAACATGTCTCTGCAGGTTAGACGATATACTAAAAGACCTGTCACAGTATTTGCATCTGAAAACAAATATCAAATAAGAAAGTAGTATGTGAAATATAACTCAAATGAAACTAGAGAGCAACCATCTCAATTCAGCTCCACCGCAGTTTTGCTAAACCCAGTAATATCTCCCCCACCCCATATATTTTATTTGGTTTTTCAATAAAATAGCAAACATTGCAGGTCTCCTATCCAGTTACAGAACTACAGAGTAATAGGGTAGCAGTAGCGTTGGAAGGTGCCCCAAGAGTCATGTAGTCCAACAACATGCAATGCAGGAATGTAGCTAGAATATCTTCCAAACAGTAAATATCACAAAATGCTGCTTGAAAGACTGTATTTTCAATATTTTTATGCCTTTTATTTGGATCTAACTTGCCAGTAAAGCAATGGTTTCTATGCTTCAAGCCATCCCCCTCGTTCCCTATTCAGAAAGGGCACAGTAATCTCATTACAAATTTATCCGAATAAGTGGTATAGATTTTGCTCTGAAAATCCAAGTTTGGTTTCTGGTATCGGGAAAGATTCCATATTATTAATACTGTAAAACAGAAGGGATTTGTGGCCAGTGTGAATTTTTGGGAGCTTGTTAGGTTGTGATAATGATAAGGGAGAACAGGATGCACAACTGACTTGTTGCACTTTTTGTTTCTTATGCTTCCCTATCTTGTCTGAAATTGGTCTTGTGCATCTTTCCCACACAAAGCTTGCATATGTCTCCACTAAGGAAGACATGCAGGATTGATTTTGAACAAGGCAGAGAAATCTAGGGAGCAGGAAGCACAAGTCAACTGCACATCCTGTCTCCTATCTCTCGCTCCCCCCCCCCTTTCCCACCACCCATGTACTCACACATACATTTTGGCACATGCAAATTAATATTAAGGTATAGTTACAGGAAATATCTCAGTATTTCAGAGTTAACAGGACATAATTTATGATAGCCTGTTAAAGTATTGCAGTAAAGCATATATGGTGTGAAAAGCAGAGAAGCACCAGCCTATTGTTTCATGCTCTTGCCAATACCGTACAATTAAGCACTTTGAGAAGAGGGAAAACATGAAACAAATTACTTCTAAGGCTCAAATAAGGTAGAAAGACCACTTCCCTCCCTGTTAAAAATTACACTGTGTGATAAAATCTTTTATTGAGGAATTAGCTTGCTCAATTGCTAATCCTGGAGGAAATTCAGTTATCTTCCCAAACGCAGAAATAAACAATCCAAATCTTTAATACTGTGCCAACGCAAGTAGTTTAGTCTATCGCTCTGGTACCAGAGGCATCAATTTTCATACTCTGTAGTGATTTGAAGTCCCTGAAGTCTTTACTGTATTGCCCTTTCAGCCATTACTAAGACATACTATAACTATTCCAAATTCTCTTTCTGGCAGCTGGCCAACAGTCTTCATCACCATCGTCGTCTCCCCACTGCCCCCCACAATCGTCTATTTCTCCTGAACTTCAAAACATGTCTGTTACATTGTGTGCTAAGTCAATTATTCAGGGAAGAAATTATGCATTACATTGCTAATTGTTTCTGGCTGTTATGCAGTGGAAGAGCATAACATGTTTCAAGATACCTCTTAAAACAAGAATTAAATTACATGCAACCTACTTCCCAAGTAAATTCAGGACTGAGTGAAAAATCTATCCCAAACAATGAGCTTTTTCTCCTTTCTTTGCAAGGCGTAAAATGTACCGATTTGTGCTTGTTTTGTTAGAACATGAGCCGAGTTTCTTCAATTGATTTCATTAAGTGAAAGTTCCATTTTGTACGATTAAAATTCTTTTCTTATTTCACTATGTGAATTGCTCTCATGGGCCAGATTTCCTAAAGGCTCTCCCAGTTAGGGCCCACAGAGATCAATGAAAGTTACCAATGAGGAAGTGGGTTAAAAGCACCAAGGACATGGAGATTAGTATGTATGCTTGTGAAGAGAATAATAGGACAGAAAATGCTTGTGGGAATTAAATGTACATCTTAAATAAATGAAATAAAACAACACTTTTGCAGGGTGAATGAACAAATACTGAAATCAAATTTGATGCAAAGTAAGAAAATCATGTTTTTAGAACTCCATTTTTGATTAAAGTGATTGTTAATTAATTTTTTACCAGAATTGGTAGGCCCACCAAAGCTCAGTTAAAATTGTTTCCATTCAGACATTCCTGAAAGAGACTGCTGCTGTTCATGCCACAACAGTTTGGCCTTGATGTAGATGGAATCTATGTAGCTGGAATCAGTCAGGGCGCTACCCTCCCCAGGCCAGGTGGGAAAAGGCCTGCAAGGCAGGAAGCTGATCTTCCAGGATTCCCAGCCATTTGAACTGACCCAGATCCTGTGATCATCATCTGAGGCCCTTCTTAGTGTGCTTCCTCTGTGAGAGGTCCAGAGGGTGGCAACACAAGAATGGGCTTTCTATGAGGTGGCTCCCCACTTGTGGAATGCTCTTCCCAGGGAGGCTAAAGATATGTAATAAAGGGGCCAGGCGAAAACATTCCTCTTCTCCCAGGCCTTTGGCTGATAAAACAAACTATGGTATTTTAAACTATTTGGGGGTGTTACTGTTTTTGTTTGTTACTACAGTATGTATTCTTGTGTTTTTATATTGTAAATCACCCTGTGATCTTTGGATGAAGGGTGGTATAGATAGAAATAAATAAATAAATAAATAAATAAATAAATAAATAAGACGACGACGACACATTTAAGGACAGCTGTAAAGGAAGAACTGAATATTTTCCTTCTTGCTATGGTCCAGATTAAAATGTCTTCTCAGAGGTGTCTGTTTGCATCAGATGAAAATCCCCTACCAAGACTGCTGTGATTCTGATTAATATTAACCTCCCATCCCACCCATCCCATTGGATGTGATTTGCATTTTTTAAAAAATATGCATGTTGGTTTAAAGACACATAATGTTACACATAACACATACAAAGATGTGTATAATGTCACACCTAGTGTGGTCCTCTCTCCCCGCTCCAGGTGAGTTGTGCATCTGCAACTCCAAAACCAGAAGGACCAGCATGTGTCATTTCACATTATCAGGAATGCTTCATCCATCCACTTTTGAAGGCACCTGCAGTAATCAAAACTATGTATGCTCAGCACTATGGTTATTAACTCTCAAGTTCCTGGGTGCCTTTTGCCTCTGAAGGGTTTTGTGAGCATCCCATTGGGGTTGTGTTGAAGCACTTGGACCAGGTTTCCCCACACATTTACTAGAAAGTATTGTCAACTGTGTTTTACATAGCACATTCTAAAACCTCATTTCATTTTTAATAGTGAAAACTCTTTGGAGGTCAAAGGCTCCAGTATGGAGCCCTAACAGCCAATAAGAGTCTGTGGCTACTCCCCAGAAGCATTCATCTTGTACCTGTAAGGCTGTTCTCCAGTGTGTGTTCTCAGGTGACGGGTAAGATTTGCAGATCTTGGAAATATCTTGCCGCAGTATCTGTTATTAGAAAATGGTATATAAAGATAGCTTTAATGTTTTGCTTTAAGATACATAAAGAAATAAAATGCATAGTCCTAACTTCAAACCAATACTGGATGGAACTGCTTCTTTGATGTAGAGTGGTACTGCTAATTATGAACTTAATTCATTCTGGAGGTTCGTTCTTAACCTGAAACTATTCTTAACTAGAGGCATGCTTTCACTAATGGGGCCTCTTGCTGCCGCTGCACCGCCAGCACACAATTTCCTTTCTCATCCTGGGGCAAAGTTCTCAACTCGAGGTAACTCTTCCAGGTTAGCGGAGTCTGTAACCTGAAGCGTTTGTAACCTGAGGCATTTGTAACTCAAGGTAACACTGTATTTAAATATTTCTGAAAGTAGCTTCAATAAATATATTGAATCAAAACTTTATGGATTAAGGTGGTGATGTCTGAATTTTCCAGTGCAACCCTCAGCAATCTATGAGAGCAGACTTTCATTTGAATGTTCATCCCGACATACTACACTTATTAACTTTGTCACTTCCCCAGCTAAATGCTTATGGGGGACGGGAACTCTTTTATCCAAGGTTTAGAATCTTGGCTTGATGGAAAGAGGTTTTAAATTGTTCAGCATATTCAATGTGTCAGTAAACGTGGCATCATTCCATCTGTGAAAGATCAGATCAGACACAATTCAAGAGACCTAATCCATCAAGGTATGCTTCTGTAATAGTGTGACTTGAAAGTAGCTGACATGTTTTCAGAAAGATCAGATAAACTGATATGACAGTTATCAAACACATAAACTAACATTCTGAAAATGAGATAGGGTCATAAATACCAAGCTAAAAAACAAATAGAAAACTGAAATGGCAGCATCAGGTTATTCTGCCAAATCAGGAACATTTCCCTGAAAATATGCATCCAAAATATAAATCCTAAATGACATTTCTAGATGATCATAGATCAATTTGAACATCACTTGTTGACCAAGTAAAGCCATTATGAGATTATTTCATCCTGTCAAATTCAGATGGTGTATTCCTGCCCACTGTCCATATTGACTAGGGCTGGACTCGGAATCTGACAACATCTGGCATGCCAGAGTTGCCCATTCCTGCTCTACATGAAGATAGCTGATATTTGCTGCAACTAGAGGGGGCGGGAATGGAAAACAAACAGATCTTTGTGTAGTAAATACTAGCTGTGTGGCACATGAAGGAGACAAGGTTAAAACCACATTGTGAGGACTTGACCATGAAAAAGAATACTACAGTGCCAGCCCAATATATTTTGCTGCATGAGCTGGAGCCCAGGTGGTGCCCCTTCTACACAAGGACCAACACCTAAAGAGTCTAGCTGCAACATTCAAACAAAAAATCCTGCCCTCATCTGCACTCCTAGTGCAGCCCTGTGCCATCTGAAGCCGGCTAGTTCACTGTGCTGCATGGTGGGACCAGCGCTGGAATACTACATGAATTAGCTTATGCTTGGGAATATGAAATACCTTTATTTTCATTTATATGCTACCAAACAGCCACAGCATTGGGGTTTTCAAACAAAGCCAAAGATGGCTTGTGATGGATAGTTCAGTCAGTAGAGCATGAGACTTTTAATCTGAGGGTCAAGGGTTCCAGCCCCATGTTGGGCAAAAGATTCCTGCTTTGCAGCGGGTTGGACTAGATAACCCTCATGGTCTGTTCCAACTCTACGGCTTATTCTAGTATTATATAAAATACCTGTAGAGTGCCAGTTGCATCATCCATCAAGCAAGCACTGTGAATGCACAACCAGCATTAATAAATGCAGAGCTTGTGCAAATGGCTTGGGCCTTTATTTGGGATCTAATGATCTAATATAATGATACCAGCCAGAGTAGAAGACAACAGAGCTTGTCGAAAGCAACATTGTTCAGATAAATGCAAACTTGTGATACAGTGGTTTTGTCTAAATCAGCAGACTCCATGTCTATTTCATGACGTTTGCATGGGATTGCTGTTGCCTCTGGAGTACACAGATGGCGATCATAAGGGAATACTTCCAAACTTTTCTGAATGGAGCTACCATGAAGGTAGGCTTGGCTCAGTATCAATTCCTTCACAACTGTCTAAACATAATGAAGGGCTAGAGTATTGTAAAGGAATAGGTCTGTTTTAAAAATTCCATACAGAAACCTAGTCTCACGCAAATAAAGAAAGTGGTAAAATTGACTATGCCAGATCAGAAATAGCTTTTAGTCTAGTCAATTTCATTCTTTGGAGGGTGGGGAGAGAATAAGAAAATATCTGGGATGTTGGGGCATTGTTGAGAGAGGTACACATGCACTCCCCCCCCCTTTTAAAAGTGACAGGAGTGCATAATCATTTATCCTTCAACCTACTAAAATAAATTAGCAACAAGACTCAATATTATTTCAGACATGGGTGCGTATTAACTGTGTCAAGGGCATTATCCAGAACATTCACTATTTAAATTGTAACAAATTTTCCAATTCACATTTGCACCATAATGATGTGTGAAATTCATTAAATTCTGAGGTCAACAGAAAATCTCTCTCTGAGTCTAACAACTGGTCTGCCACTTAGGACCTGAAAGGCTACAGATGTCTATAAGATGGATCCAAACTCTGAGACAAAACTTCCATTGATTTCTTTAGGACAACGTTGATTTGAGCCAAATATTTGCAGTGACGACTCAGTTTTTTTAACACATCTAATCATTCACAGATCTTATGGAATTTCCCTTCTGGCATTATCAAAGGAAAGACCAAGTGAAAAACAGTCTTGCAGTTCATGATCAGAAAAAAATTATGAGGGAAAAGATCGTGTATTAATATAAAGGTGATGAGGAAATTTTGGAACAAGGCAGCGTATGTAATGTTTTGGCCTCATTTATCAAGCGCAAGGTAATGCAGGACAAATTTCTCCTGTAATTGCAAACAAACACAGAATCAAACACTATGACCATGTCTTGCTGAATAAAGAACCTTTTAAAATGCCAGTGACCCACCATAATCCCTATTCTTCATCCAATCTTGAGCAATTTCTAAAATAAACAGCAGTGGCTTGCAAGAGAAGAGAGACATTAAGAGAAGCTGTTGTGGGTAATTAGCTTGGAGAGTTTACCTGCAGGTATAGCGCTCTTTGCCTTTTCGTAGAAGGTTCTCTGGCAGGGTGCTGGGAGGGGCTCTGAAGTTGAACATGGAAGGGACAGATTGCATGATGTCACCGGCTTCTGGTTTCAGGGCACTAAAACTCTCTAGCTTTTCAGCCATGTTTTCTATAGCTGACATCTGCAAGGAGGAAGGGGAAATCATTGTGAGGACATTCTTGTACTCCAAAGAGAATTAGCACAATCTGGTCAACAAAGAGCTCCATTTTAAAAAGTGTACTATTGAAAACTCTGCTTTTCTTTTTTAACTAGAAGAAACAATAAAAGTTGTTGCAATTTCAATGACACAATATTTATTCTACCTTGTTATTATATGCTGATAAGGAAGTATTACCAACATAAACTGGTCTCAAGCCAGTTTAACTGATACTACATTTCTGAGATACTCAGCTTTGTTAGAGGTAACACAACCTTCTTACTGATTTACAGTATAATTCACAGAAGAAAAAAGCAGTTACACATAAATCAGTTTATGTTTCTAGCCTGTCATCCAATTTTCTAGTGGCCATCTTGCTCCATGAAAATTAGCGCTGAGCCTCCACCTTGGACTAATTCAAGGCTTTACTGTTGTTACTCTGTGTGTGTGTAGATATGTTTGTATAATGCCACAAAAGATAGTATTTTCCTGTTTAATAGTCTGTAATCATAATAAGAAGAGAAGAAGAAGAGTTTGGATTTGGATTTGGAGAAGAAGAGTTTGGATTTGATATCCCGCTTTATCACTACCCGAAGGAGTCTCAAAGTCTCAATCCCTTCCTCCCCCACAACAAACACTCTGTGAGGTGAGTGGGGCTGAGAGACTTCAGAGAAGTGTGACTAGTCCAAGGTCACCCAGCAGCTGCATGTGGAGGAGCAGAGACATGAACCCGGATCCCAAGATTACGAGTCTGTCGCTCTGAACCACTACACCACACTGGCTCTCAGATGGATGGATAAATCCATCCATCCATCCTCGACAGGCACCCTCCCACTTACGTGCATCTGGGTCACAATTCAATCATAAATAAATAAATAAATAGGCCTTCCCTTGCTCGCTGCTGCTGCTGCCTGGAAGTTGCCTGAGTGAGGGAAGGTTTGCCTTCGATCAACCATTAGGACAGGGTGGGAAGCACCTTCTCCCAGCCATGTGTCTGCACCCCCATCCTGTCACCAGTTCTGCTGGGCACCCTTCCTGGCTCTCGCCCTCTGTGGCCAGCTGCTGCCACGGCACACACTAGCTTCCCACAGGCAGGCAGGCTTGGGACAGGCCAGGCAGTGGTCCTGAGTAATTTCCAGGATGCCTCTCTCTGTGTGTTAAGGAGCTATGCCAGGGGTCGGCAACCTAAAGGCCATGGGCCACAAGTGGACCATGGACCCCCGCCACCCGCTCAGTCGGCTCCCGTGCGCCGTGCAGAGCAGAGCAGGGATCGCCTTCCACGACGCTGGCTGGCTTCCCATTGGCTGCAAGAAGCTCCTACAGCCAATGGGAAGCTGCGCACGCCTCCTCCGCACCAGAAGGAGCGCCGTAAATAGCGTTTGCGCATGCTTGTGTGCGCGCACTCCGGCCCACCGTGGCATCTGCGGGACCGTGAACCAGCCCAAGCCACAAAACTTTTGCTGACCCCTGAGCTACGCAATGGTTCTGGTTCTGGATATAGTATAGTGCTGCACCCTGATAAGAGTTTTATGTGTGACTGGAAGATCACACCTAATGAAGCTATTCCAGACTTTTTTTGAATACGTAAATACGTAAATAAAAACAGTATGAATCCAGACATAAGAATGTGAAATAGTTGCAGAAGTATTAGTAGTAGCCAAAGTGTCAACTACCCGGTGCTACATGCTTCACAAAAGCATAAGCAACCAAGGCTCCTATCCTAACTGCACTTACTTTGTTGTTGTTTTTATAAAATATTTATTGAGATTTTTTTAAACAATCAAATAACAGAGTAACAGATATAAACAGAAAGAAAAAAGTCAGAATAAGATTATACATAAAAAAAAGATAGAAATGCAGAAAAAAAGAAAAAATAGAATGCATATATTAATAGATCTACTTTCCATCATACTTTGGACTTCCTCACATCACCCTTCCCTGCGTTCCCAATCAGACAGTTATGTGCAGCAATTTGTTACCTTACTTCCATTTCTTATTTTATAAATCACCAATATTCAATTTCAACTTTAAAATCTGTTGGTCTTAAATTAAACTGCTTATAAAGAGCATAGTATTTCTTTAAGTTTCAACGTTACCTTAACATCACATATTTTCATATATCTTACAATAGTTTTACTGCTGCCATGTTTCTTTCATTCGTGCATTCTCCTAACATTCATACAATTTGTAGTGTTTTTGTAAGTAGTCCTTAAATTTTTTCCAATCCTCTTCCATCGTCTCTTCTCCCAGGTCTCGAATTCTGCTAGTCATTTCAGCCAGTTCCATATAGTCTATCAGTTGCGTCTGCCATTCTTCCAAGGTGGGCAAATCCTGTGTCTTCCAATGCTTAGCAATGAGTATTCTTGCTGCTGTTGTTGCGTACATAAAGAAAGTTCTATCCCTCTTTAACACCCCTTGGTCAGCAATGCCCAGAAGGAAGGCCTCTGGTTTCTTAAGGAAGGTATACTTAAATACCTTTTTTAATTCATTATAAATCATTTCCCAGAAAGCCTTAACCCTTGGGCACGTCCACCAAAGGTGAAAAAATGTTCCTTCAGCTTCTTTGCATTTCCAACATTTGTTATCGGACAGGTGATATATTTTTGCCAGCTTGACTGGGGTCGTGTACCACCTATATATCATTTTCATAATGTTTTCTTTCAAGGCATTACATGCCGTGAACTTCACTCCGGTGGTCCACAACTTTTCCCAGTCAGCAAACATAATATTGTACCCAATGTCCTGTGCCCATTTTATCATAGCTGATTTAACAGTTTCATCTTGCGTGTTCCATTTCAACAGCAAGTTATACATTTTAGAAAGTACCTTAGTCTTAGGCTCTAACAGTTCTGTTTCTAGTTTTGATTTTTCCACCTGGAAACCTAATTTTTTATCCAAATTGAAGGTCTCCTTGATCTGGGCGTAATGTAACCAGTCTCGCACTTTACCCTTTAATTTCTCAAAACTCTGCAATCTCCAGTTATCACCTTCTTTTTCTATTATCTCCCAATATTTCGGCCATTTGGCTTCCATATTGAGTCTTTTCGGGGCCTTGGCTTCCATTGATGACAGCCACCTTGGGGTTTTATTTTCTCCTAACTGCACTTACTTTGGAGTAAGTTCCACTGAACACAGTCCAACTTGTGCAATAGTACTGTGTGCCCCTAAGAATAAGGTAGCAGTGGAGATACAGGCATTTACAATGAGTAGAAGAGATGCATGCCTAGCAGGTGAAGCAAAGGTTCTTCAGGAAAGGCTTACACCTGCAGCCTCTGCTTGATGGAAAAGTAACACTAGTGGATGCCGTTGCAAATAATGAAGTGTTCAAATTACTCTGCATCTTCAAGATTAATGTATAATAGCCTTAATAATTTTCTCATTTCAACACTGAACTGCCAACTAATAATATTGCTCAGATTGAAAGAAGTTCGTAGAATCACACCCTTTGTCCTGAATGATTACAGAATTGCCTTAGGCTAAGCCTACTCCCCCCCCCACCAATCCTAATTATGACCATTTTGCAGAAAACCCAATATAGTAAATAAGGTTTAGTTCACGAGCCCGGGAATCTGTGAACTGATTTTCTTCTCGCTTACACTGCACTTACTTACACAAAAGTGGCTCCATCAGGCTCAGTGTTACTCATCATTCAGAGAAATATATATGGAAGAAGACTTATTTGGCTTACATTTTTCATACTAAGATACAATATAAATATAGTAATTTGGTTTGCACTTTCTCTTTTTAGTCCAAAATAAATGCCTGCTCATTTCCTTGAAATGACTATTCATATTCTGCTTAGCGCTGGTATTTTTCTCTCCTTTTCGCCCGTAGCCTGCTCTTCCATTCCATGCTCAGACTTCTAATGCTCACTACAAATTGCAATGTACAGGGTTCCACTGCCAATTTGCCAAATGTCTTTCATCAAACATTGTGCAAAAAAAAAAAAAAAATCTCAGAGGAAAGTCAAGATACATTTACTTGTCAGGAGACAAATGGGAAAGCAGAGGGAAGCAGTAAGGGCTGGAAGCTCTGGGTTTTGATTCATAATCACTCAGCTGCTAAAACATTCTCCACAGATGCAAGTGGACAGGGCATTTGTCAATATGAAGGGTTGTGACGGGTACTGATCGTAGGGCCAAGATATGTAATGATGATGCTGGTTGGAGTAGGAGGCAATTCCATCCTAGAAGAGCAATGTCATTATCAGCCTACAGAGTTCAGCATTATCATAACATTTATTTTTCACTCCTTCCTATTTCTCCTTTCCCCCAGAATAAATCTGCCATTTTATTTCTCATTGCATTTAATCACTTCTAATTGTTTGCTAAGAGAAATAATTTTGCTGTTTTACTATTGCCTGTGATGGAGGGATGGAAGCAGGGAAATGGTTTTTGGCCTTCTGGCAGATTAGTAGTGACACATGGCTTAGGAGTAAGGTACCACCTATTTCTGGTTTGGTGGGGGACATGCATCTGGGAGGATAAGGAACGGCTTAGTTATATATTTAAATATTTGAGTCAGTTTCATTACCAAGTGCTTTTAAAATTGTGCTTGGGTCAACATTCTTCCTTCCCACAGATCCCAGCATTAGTTGGTTAACCTATTTTCCTTTTCCTGTTTGAAATGGCTTTATCAAGCAATTACCGTGGCTTTAAGGCTTGGTTCTGATCTATTCTAAGCAATGCATGTACTAGTCATTGTATACAAACCAGAGCTGATTTCCTAGTATGTGTGTTTCACTAATCCAGTTGCGGAGATTCATGCTCCGGCACCAGGGAGTGGAGAGCAGGCGGGGGCGTGGCTGGCGTGCGTCCTGGGGGCGTGGCTTATGTCCTGGGGGGTGCGCCACCTACGGGGCATGGCGCCCAGCACGGGGTGGGGGGCAGCCGCGATGGCACCCCACCGGGATTGCGTTGCTGGGGGTGGTGTGCTCCCCCCGCCCCCCTTCCTCCACCAGTGCACTGATCCTGCCTGCCTAGTTA